CAGGTGCTAAAGAAGTAAGACGATTTAGTTTTTCACACACAGCTCCTTCATTTTAACCCAAATGTTACTAAATAAATTGTAATGGGGACTATTTTGTGTTTCGTTCATCTTAGATTACAGTTAACTTTAAAAGACCAGCTGTTTTTGTTTTTCTTTTGTGTCTCACTTATCTGAACTTTGTAACCGTGACAGTTTTTCTATAGATCCCATCATAAACCTGCTGACTCACCTCAAATGTCTCAGGGTGCATGTGTCCGATGACGGGCTGAGCTCCAGCCTGCAGGATGCGAGGAGGAACATTGGACGGTCCCGGTCCAAACATATGGCGCTGTGGGACAACCAGACGTTTTTTGAGGCATTCTGGTGGTGGTATGGAGACGGAGGACATGTTCTTCACAGCGTGACGAGCAAAGGAAAATGGAGAGGAGATGTGGAAGGAGGTGAAGTTATTGCCTAAGCCGAGCACTCCCCTTGACCTGACCACTGAGGACCTCAGAGGATGGCCCAACATGTTTTATCTGTTTCATCTTCTGCCAACACGTTGCTGTGTGCACAGTCAGCTCAAATAACGTTGTTTTCCAGTTTATTTGAGGAGGCGTCCTCGTAAGTTAATTATTACAGAGATTGGTTTTGTGAGGTCAGAATTAACTGTTAGTTTGCTGAACTCTTCATAAAACAAAGATACTTTCTGGCTTGGAGCAAATTATTTTAAATTTTTAGTATAACAAATGCATCTGAAACAAAGAAACACAGAGAAGGAACTCAGCAAAGATTAAAAAGCTAAAAACCCAGCTTGAACAGAATGAGGCCTTCTGAAGGCCTTGAATGGTCTCTCTGATCATTTTTTGCTTTTTATTAAATAATTTCTTATTTAACCCATTTGCAGACAGTAGCTACTGTTCTGAAATTGTTATAGTTTAAGTTCTAATTCATAGCATTAATTTAAAAATAATTGAAATTATTTGATAAACAAAGGGGATATAAAAGACTGAAAGGTGATTGCATTTTCTGCAAAAATGCAGTGTGAACATCGAGCACTGATTACCTTTGTTTAAATTTTCTGAAGAAGCTAAAACTGAGTTGTCAAGGTTAAAACAAGCAGAGTGGAGGCTAAAATGGCTAAAAACATGTTTGCATGAATAGAAAACAAGCTAAAAGAAGCAGAACACAAGCTAAGAACAAAAAGAAGTAAAACTGTACCTAAAACTAGCATAACAGTCGCTAAAATGAGCATGACCTAAACAAGACAAGACAGGAACAAGCTAAAAGAAGCAAAACATGAGCTAATAACTAGCTAAAGCAGTTAGACAAGAAAGGAGTAAAACAGTAGATAAATTTAGCATAACAGTGTGTGTGCGGGGGGGGGGGTAGTATTATATATGGCTTATTGCTGATTAGATTTTTAATGATGTTTAAGCTCAAAAAATGATGATCGTATTATACTAATGATCATATTATACGTGAATAAATTCAATAAGTAATTTGAAAATTACAAAAATTGTTATAACCAACTATTTCTGACCAAGCCAAACATTTTGATATATCTTAATGTTTTAAAAAAGCACAACTTATGAGAAAGTTGAGAAACAAAAAAAGTACAAAAGAAACTATAAACAAGAGTTGTGTGAATCTGATTCATCTTTCACAGATTCATTTATTAAATGTCACATTAAGATGGATGAGTTTTACTGTTACAGTTTGTTTTCATGCTTGACGCTTGGGCTCGACTCGGCCCTCGGACCGATGAGCAGATGTTTCCCCAGAGGTTCGGGGCAGAAGCTGCCATCTCTGAATATCAGCCGTCCCGACAGGATGGTGGCACGCACCACTCCTCGCAGCGTGACGCCGAGGTAAGGAGTCAGCTGAAAAGACACGAGCGTTCAGCCAACCGAATCTACAACTTCACGTTTCTTTATGATGTTTTACCTTGTTTTTATGGAATATGCTTGTTTCTTCAATCTGTAAAGTACAAAAAATAATAATAATAATTTGCTGAAATAAGCTTTGATGATTGACAAAAACTTTGTAATGCCTTTCACAAACCTCAAACTCTCTCTCTGGATCCCATATGACCAAGTCAGCATCAAAGCCAGGGACTAGGATGCCCTTCTTGTTGTCCAGGCTGCTCAGCTGGGCTGTTTTTCTGCTGAGGAGGCGGACCACATCAGCCAGCTGAAAACCTCTCTTACTGGCTGAACTCCAGAACAGAGGTAGGCCTAAAAAAAGATGTGAGAGAAGTAAACTAAAGCTGAGATGATATGTATCAATCCAGAGAGTTTCTTTAAATTCTTATTACAGAGGTGATATTTACCCACTCTAATTGGTCCTCCCAATTATGGACATTTTAAAAACTCATATAGTTATTATACTGATATCCAAAAAAGGCTTCCAGTTGATTTTTCTTATTCCATTATCTTCTGTGTAGATATCTTCAAAGTCAGATAAGATTTTTGTAAGATGTTTAAAACGTTAGTGTGACAGGGCCTTTAGACTTTGACCAACTGATGTCAGACTGTAAATCATTGACAGTCTGCTCTGTGAAATTTACTCACCATATGTGTTTATGGTTTAATGAGCACAAATGTTAGAATAAGCTGTCATGACAAGAAGTAAATACACCCACTGTCAGGTTTTATTTATACAGAGATATTTTTGTTAGGGTGATCAGACATCCCCGATTTCCAGGGACTGTCCCCGTTTTGGACAACCTGTGCCCAGCTAAAAATGTCTGAATGAATGTAAAAATATATATTTGCGAGTAGGTTGTTATTACAACAGACGGGTCTAAAGCGCGAGTGAGCATGCTGTAGTTAAAAAAAGAAAATCTTGTAGTGTGGCCCTTTGTAGTCTGCTAACAGCTTTCAAAGTTAGTGAAGAAGCGAATCCGCTAAAAAAAGTTAGTTCTGCTATTAGCTATTAGCTGATTAGTGGAGACCACCACTGCTGCTTAATCTGGGTAGTGTTTTACAGAACCAGAGATGTGATGAGACAGTACCAAACTGTAGGGATGAAATCCCTCCCCAGGCCTGTGTGAAGTCCCCACTGTCCAGTTTTTTGAGATCCGGCGTGCAAGGAGAGTGATCTGACACCACCATGTCAATCTGTCCATCTTTCAGTGCAGACCATAACTTCTCCTGCAGAAACAGAGCGAATCATCAGGAGGTAGTTAGGAAATAAATTCAACAAGTGCTGCCTTGAAAACAGTGAAATTTGTATCTACAGCCACATTTCTGAAAAAGTTGGGATGTTGGGTAAAATGCTCATTAAACAGAATGCAGTGATTTGCTAATCTGATAAACCCATATTTGGAACATAGTAAACATAACAAAAGTTGAAACAAAAAGAAAGTATCATTTTAGGAAAGTATAGGGTCATTTTACATTTGATTTATGTAAAAGTAAGTTTTATGAATAAGAAACATCTGGAGAAGCATTTTGCAACTAATTAAGTTAATTGGCAACTGATGAGTAAAAGCAGTGAGTATAAAAAAACCTTTTAGAGAGGCTGAATTGCTCAAAAGTAAAGCTGGGCAGAGAGTCACCCATCTGCAAAATACTATGTCTAGAAATAATGGATCAGTTTCAGAGTAATGTTCTTCAGTGGAAAATTAGAAAGACTTTGAATATCCAACACATTCTCACTCCCGAGTCGTCACATATTGACGTTTTTCAAAGGTCCCTTTGCGTCCAATTTTGACGCATCAGGTACCCCCCTCGCGTCAGTCCTTGCCGCCCGCGGCTTTTCCGGGTTGCGCCACCAGGGGTCTTTGGGTCGGGGGTCTGAGGTTAACATTAGGGATCAGGATAAATGGTTAAGTTTAGGGACTGGGGTCAGGGATAGGATGTCTACAGTGAACATTAGGTAATTTTAGGCTTTGCAACACGTAGTTGCCATGAATTTCCTACATTTTCTAAAAATGGTTAATTTTACGTATCAGGGTTAATGGTTAATTTTAGGTACTAGGGTCTGGGACAGGATGTCTAAAGTGAATAAACGTAATTTCACGCTTTGGAACGGTAGTATTTGTGCATTTTCTACACTTTCAGAAATTACGACAACAGATTCCGCCCCATCCCGTCAAAATATGACGCAAGGGGGGTACCTGATGCGTCAAAATTGGACGCAAAGGGACCTTTGAAAAACGTCAATATGTGACGACTCGGGAGTGAGAATGGGTTGGAATATCCCATCATTTGTGGTTTATAGTACAGGTCTGGTTCTGTTCTGGACGTCACTGCATGGACTCAGAAACACGTCCACAAATCATTATCTGTAAACAGTTTGCTGTACCATCAAAAATGTAGCTCTATTATACAAAAAAAAGTTATGAACATCAAAACTCCAGTCTTCTGTGGACCAAAGACTAAAAGTGGAAACTGTTATCAGATTAATCAATATTTACATTTGTTATGAAACCTGTTGACACCCTGTCCCCTGTACTAAAGAAGAGAATGATCATCCAGCCTGCTCTTTAAAGGCCTGCCTCTCTGATGGTATGGGGGTGAATTTGTGCTCGTTACCTGATTATTAGAATCTCGGATGGGGGGGCAGCATTTGAACTGGGTGGCCCCTGCAGGTATATTTTCTGCACACAGGCTGAGGTAATGATGGGTGGTCTCCACCGTCAGGGGGGCTCCAGCCCGTCGAGCTTCCTGGATCAGTTTCAGCGGCTTTGCAGAGGACAAGTGAACGATGTGGCATCGCACCCTGGAGCACAGGAAGATTATTCTTACTGCAACAAAACACAACTAAGTGTTCTATGGAAAAACAATCTTTACTGGTTTTACGGGATGTTGTTATTAACTACAATAATCTCACCGGTACTGCAGACAGAGTTCTGTCACAGTGCGAATAGCCTCCAGCTCCATGATGTCTGGCCTGGACTGCAAGAAGGTTGAGTACTTACAAGGGTCTGTTATAAATGAAGCAGAAAAAAACTTGGATGTTTATTGTAAACCTGTCATAATGATATCATTGCTGGAGCTGACATCCTGGTGTTTAAGGAATAATCTGACCCTAAACGCAAAAATAAATAAATAAATAAATAAAACCAAGGAGGTCATTATTGACTTCAGGAAAGTTAGCAGCAATCTAGCCCCACCTTTACATCAATGGTGAGTGTGTAGAGAGGGTCCATACTTTCCGGTTTCTGGGCATCCATATCACAGCTGACCTCACCTGGACTGATAATATCACATTTAATTATCTGATGAGCACTTATTTAAAACATAAGTGAAAGAAAAATGAATTGCTTCAAGTTCAAAACAATTGCAAATATGATTCAGACAAAAACATTGATATTTCATCAACTTAAACCATAAAGATAATTTTAGTTGAATAAGAATTTTTCCCACAGAAAAACCATACATAGCTGAAATCATACTGAGGGAGGAAAGTGATCTGTCCTCTCTTCTCCTGTAACTTTGATAAACATTCTCTGATTATCAAAATGCGTAATACTTTCAGTTAAGAGAACAATAAATCAAATAAGAGAAGATTCTTCTGTTATTATCTGATTTAGGAGAAAAGAGAATGTCTCTTTGAAGGCCCATCAGAGGACTGAGAGTCCAAGACAGTTTCTTTGATTATTTCACTCGAGGTCACCCCTACAGCGGTCATCAAGAAGGCTCAGCAGAGGCTACACTTCCTGAGAGTCCTTAGGAAGCACAACCTCAACTCCAACTTGCTGCTAACCTTCTACAGATCATCCATAGAGAGCCTGCTACCATACTGTAGCTCAGTATGGTACGGCAGTTGCTCCCTGGCAATTGGAGAGGCTCCAGAGAATAGTCAAGACAGCTCAGAAGATCATTGGCTGCCCTCTCCCCTCCCTCATGGACATTTATACATCACGCTGCATCACTAGAGCTGAGCAGATCAAGGACAGCTCCCACCCAGGCTCCGAACTGTTTGACTTTTTGCCCTCAGGTAAGCACTACAGGTGCATCAGAACAAGAACAAAAAGATTCAAGAACAGCTTTTTTTCCCGAAAGCCATCACCTTAATGAACTCTGGAATGTGCAATAATGTCATGTAGGGGTCACCTCGAGTGAAATAAACTGTGTTGGACCTCAGACATCTGATGGACCTTTTAAAGGGACAAAAACTCTGTTCTACTCAGCACTGAATTTAGGCCACCTCAGGCCGCCTTAACTTGTCAAAGAGATATTCTCTTTTTCTTAATCAGATAATAAACAGAATAATCTTCTTTTTACTTGATTTATTATTCTCTTAACTGAAAGGTATTACGCATTTTGATGATCAGAGAATGTTATCAAAGTTACAGGAGAAAAGAGGACAGATCTGTTTTCTCCTTCAGTATGATTTCAGCTATGTATGGATTTTCTGTGCAAAATTCTTATTTAACTAAACGAATCTTTATGGCTTACTTAAGTTGATGAAACATCAATGTTTTATTTGTTTGAATCATATTACGAATGTTTGAAATTGACGTAATTCATTCTTTCAGTTGTGTTTTTAAAGAGTCTCATCAGATAATAATTAAATAGATCATGATATGTTTTGTTTCTGAGCTACACAGAAGCAATAATCTTTGTTTAGCTTCAGGAGACGACGGCAAGTCTCTGAACTAACATTCTTCCTGATATCTCCTTTTCCTAATCTAACCTCTGAAGGCAGAACTAAGAAAACTAAGCTTCTTTATTAACTAAAAGTTTCCGCCCGAGAGAGACAGTCTGAGTCTGAGTGACTCCCAGCTGCAAGTGTTGTAGATGGCACGGAGGTCCGTCCTCTCATATTACACACACACACACACACACACACACACACACACACACAC